TGAGCAAATTGTGTTTACTTCAAGCAGGAAATTGATGACAGCATTGTTCTTGGAAAGAACAGAGAGAGAAATAAGGAGCAGAACAAAATCTCACAGAGCTCAGCTTACAAGTGGAACAAAAGTTGAAAATGCTAAAGCAAATTGAAATGACATCAGTTCTTTTTTTTTGTTAAATGGTTTCAGTGCTTTTTTTTTTGTAATGGATTTTCTGTAGAGGTTTTGAAATCGGGAAGGTTTTTGTTGCAAAGAATTTTGAACTTTATATTGTGCAAGAAATTTTGTTGGAAACAAGATACAAAGTTTCACTTACCAATATGTCTTAGTAAATTTAGAAGTCCACATTTCTGAATTGCAAGTCTTGTATCAGAAAAAAGGGAAAACATACAGATTTTGCTGTATTTAGTTTTCTAGTGAAAAGTTAAAACTTTTTTAGCTCTAATACTATAGAATTACACATATATATACATATGCACATATGTGTGCATATGGTTTGCTGAATCTTGTTTGTAAAATAAATCACAAACCTATACACACCATACCCCCAAATTAAGAAGAAATCTATAGCATTCAACAGTTAATTTTGCAGGAAGCTTTACACTTGACCTCTGACATTTTGAAGTAATAAACTGACTTGTTTTCCAGATCCAAGTCTGCTTACTATAATCACAACCTTGTTCACATGCTGTGACCTCATGAATTAATCCCTGTTACTGACAATACCATAGATCACTCACTGCCTGTTGCATAAAGGATGTTGAGAGATAGTGCTTATCATGCTTTCTAGCTATAAAATAAACTGAATTTTCTTTATGCTTTAGATGATTTTTCTAAAGTTAACAAATAAGGTTTCCCTTTCAATTTTCATATTAAAATGACTTTCAGTATATTTTCTGTCTTCTTTCTATTGAAATCTACGAGGAAAATGTTGAAGTATTTGGCTTCTGTAGAAGAAGCTGTACTTTCTCCCCAGGCTGTCAGTTCTGTTATCACTTGATGATTTTTCTGCATAATGATTGTGTATTTCCATGTTAAAAAAAAAAAAAAAAAAATCCATCTAAATAGTGTAATTAATGCTCCCGAGTTTTAGTGGTAGAGGTAATTGTAGTTGCATATGTAGTACTTTTAAACTTAATATTAATTGCTTGCCTATCTATTTATTTGTGGCTCATCCAGCTTTCTATAAATGCATGTATATATTTTTAAAAGGTTTTGCTGGGTAAATTCTGAGATTATACCAGCTGTCAGATAATTCTAGAGCCTATATATTCAGGCACCTCTGACCTTCATTCCCTCACTATGGTGAAAAAATCCGGATTGAAACATGCCAAGGTTTTGAGGATATTTGAAGTACTGGAACAATAAAGCATAGATAGTAAACATGTTTTACTGCTTTACATGTAAAATAGCTTATGAGGAAAGAACCTTGTAATGAGTGACATCAATACCAGATCTGAACGTGGAAGTCAGAACCTAGATCTCCACGTTTGTGGACATTCTGTCTTGCTGGACTTCTTTTTCTAATGAAAGCCCTTGTTGCTGGGACAGAAGCTCAGAGCCGTTGGGTTTTACTTTCTGTTAATTTTATTTTGCGTGTTTTTAAGAAACCACCTGTGGAAGGTGCATTGTATGTCTCTGGTTTGAATGCCAGCTAATGCTGCTGATGTTTGAGCTGAATTTGAGTTTATGACTAGAAGCTCTAACAGATGTGTTATCTTTTGATATAAATGTGTAAAACCTGGTGGAGTTTAGCTAGAATGATGACTTTTCATGGCCAGTCAGTATAGTTTGCCTTTCTCAGGTAGGAGAGGGAGGAACAAAGTTGGTTTTTGAAAACCAGCCAGCCATGCTCTCAGCAGGGAAGGGAAAGCTTCTGATGACTTTGGTTCCTAGTTGTTGGGTCTTTTTCACCCTGAATGTTTATGCGATATTTAAGGGGTGGTTTTACTTGTTCTAGTTATAGCAAATTTGACAGCAGCATGTAAAGGATTTAATGATTACAAAATGTTAGTACATGAATTTCTAACTAAACATGACAAGTAAATGGTAGGAGAAAAGGGGTGAACAAAAACCATTCCATACAAAACACTGTCAAAAGTTGTTCAAGTAGCATTGGTGATGGTTCAAGCTAATTCAGAAAACAGTTTTTTGTTTTGTTTTGATGTAATTCTTTAAGTCTACCCATTGAAGTTATTTAAGGTGATTATTAGATTTGTTTTGTTTCCAGTGTGTTATTTTGGAAACAGGGTCTTGCCATTTTAGGTTTGTGTCAGTGTTTTTAGCAGCTTCTCACACATCAGCATTGTTCTGTTAGTGAAACAGTGGGGGAGCGGGAGGTAAGAGGAACGTGAAGTCTTCAAGCTGCACCATAAACAAAAGCAAATCTTGAAACTGAATTTGTTAATGCTGCTATACTTGTCTGTTTAACAGGGACTCTTTAGTAAGATATTCTGGCACGGTAGTGGGTGAGGAGCAGTGCCAGCGCTCCAAGGGACGGTTGCAGTCTGTGGAGCAGGCTGTGCTGACTAGGACAGCCCTGTCACTCTCTTCTTCCATGACGGAGCAGAAGAGCCCTTCCTCAGCAGAAATTGTGCCTGTCTCCTGATACCAGATGTGTCAGGTGGTTACCCTGCAGGCAGAGTGTGTTTCTGGGCCTGTTGGGACAAAGCTGCTGGAAGCTGCTCGGCTTTCTACCCTTCCATGCCTCCTTCTGGAAGCAAATGGTCTGGGGTGCCAAGGGGAGCACCCAGGTGAGATGTTGCCTCTCTGGGAAACCCAGCCTGTGAATAGAGAGCAGAACTTGTTCTGTGGAGCAGAGGGGAGGTTAGAGTCAGCTGCTGCTTGGGCTCTGGGGTTGTGTCCTTCCATGGAAGAAGTGGGGAAGTGGTAGGGTGTTACTGTCCAGCTTCTGAGGTGAATCAAAGAAAGGAATGGAGGGTAAAAATATTGCCTCAGGAATGGCTGTGAGAAGGGACAGTTTCTTTCACCCTGGTACTGAGACCTCTTTGCTTTGCTGTGCCAGGGCTGTGGCTTATGGAGGCTGAGGGGACAACTGGCCAAGGAACCACTGTGTTGTGCTGCTGCACGCTTCTCTTCCCAGTGCTCGATGGCACTGCTATTTGTGGAGCTGTGCTTTGAAACCGGATAAGGAAGTGATCTGATCAAGCCCTGCAAAAATAGATTGTTCTAAAATGGTAACTAATTAATTTTAAAATGCTGTCCCACAAGCACTGTGTTGGCAGTGTTGAGGGGGCGATGTATTGATGCTATGAAGATGTGAATAAGCACCTGAGGCAGAATTTTCTGAAGCTGTTCCTAGTGTGGAAGACTTCATGTAGTTTCGTGGACAAAGTTGGCGTAAATTCTTGCTATGCCCTCACTCACCTCTTCAGGGTTAGATGTTAATATAGGTATACTCTTGAGATAGATCACTGCAGCTGTTTGTGGAACCATGCTGTATTTAAATCAGCGAAATGTTGCTGTTTAAATTAAAAATGCAAAAAACTAACCCAAAACACCACTCATGGCCACCAATAACTTACAAAGTAACCTCCAAAACAGCTGTAAAGGTTTGTTTTTTTACTGTGGGGCTTTTGCCTCCCACAACTGCCAGCACAATTGCAGAGATGGCTGTTTGTGGCATGGATGCAAGCAAGTCTGCAAGGGTAGCAAAAGGATATAATTTGAAAATAGACTTTGCTATTAATATATATTAATATATACTAATATATACTAATATATAATGTGCTGTTTTCTCAGGGTGCTTACTGATGTCCAGTCTTCTTAGAGTGTGCATGCTAAGATCTACTCAGTTTGTTCAAGCTACCATCACAGCTGTCCACCAGTGCTGATCTGTGTTATCTTTACTTGACACTTGTTTCTTCAAAGACTTCTTTGCCTGAGCATTTGTCAATTAAAAAACACACATAGTACTCTGCATACTGCGTTTAGTCTTTTCTTGTCTAAACAGCTAAAAAAAGTAGGGAGTGATTAAATTTTATTGTATTTCTTCCTTGGGAGTGGGGAGTCTGGATTGGTTGGTTTTATTTGTTTATAGGGATTTTGTTTGGTTTTTTGTTGTTGCTATTTTATTTGTTTTTTGCTTGGGGTTGTTGTTGCTGTTGTTGTTTTTGATTGTGTGGTGTTTTGTTTTGTTTTTTTTGTTTGCTTGTTTGTTTGGTGGGCATTTTTTGTTGGTTTTTTAGGGTTTTTTTTGCCTGTTAGGTCAGATCTCCTTTGCTCCAGGCTTCAGTGGTATAAAAAAGAGTGTGGAATGTTAATGACAGAGCATTAAAATCTTGTGCTTGACTGGTTTGGGTAATAACTAAGTGAACTTAGAAGTTTAGGTATGTTTCAGCTTAGTGCTCTTAGATTTGGAGGTGTACAAGTCTAAGCTGCTGGAGGTGCTGAGGTTACAGGGAAAAGTGTGTCTCTTCCTCATCTGGTCAGTATGAAAATAAGTGAGCATCAAGAGAGCTTAAAGCCTTAGGCCAAATTGACATGTGGGTATTTGTTTGCTACAATATGTTTTTGAAAAGCTTTAATGCACATTCTGAAATACTTTTTATGACCTCATTAGGTCATTTCTTGCAGTGGCAGTCTGCTAAATTGTCCTTCAACTTTGCACTTGTATCATTCAACCAGAACTAAATTGCACTTTGTACTGGAATAATATGGATTTGACTGTAAAATTGATGCATGGTTTGTGTAGCAGAAAAGTTATTGACTTTTCATAGGAACTTAGAAGAGGGGTCAGTTGAAGAGAAGGTCTTGTAGAGCATCAGAAAAACATTAAAAAAGGAAGAACAAAATAAGAATATATTACTTCTCTCAGGTAGGTATTGAATAAAGGCAGTGGGCAGATGTTATGGGAAGGTAAAAACAATGTTTTACATTTCCAGTTTTTAAGTTTGGGGTTTTTTTGCACTGAAGATCAAAGAATTAAACTTTTCACCTAAATTTATGTGTTATAATGCTTACCTTGATTTGTTTTGTTAAAATGGTAGGAAACTGGAAGCCAAACCACAAGGAAATCAGCAACAGTGTGGCCAGCAGGACCAGGGCAGTGATTGTCCCTCTGTACTCAGCACTGGTGAGGCTGCATCTTGAGTCCTGGGTCCAGTTCTGGTCCCCTCACTACAAGACAAACATTGAGGTGCTGGAGCGAGTCCAGAGGAGGGCAGTGGAGCTGGTGAAGGGTCTGGAGCACAAGTCCTGTGGGTATCTGGGGGTATGTATTCTAGAGAAAAGAAGGCTTAGGGATGACCTTATCACTCTCTACAATTACCTAGAAGGAGGGTGTTGCAAGATGTCTTCTTCTGAGTAATAGATGTGATAGAATGAGAGGAAATGGCTTTAAATTGTGTCAGGGAAAGTTTAGGTAGGAAAATTTCTTCACTGAAAGGGTTGTCCAACACTGAAAAAGGGTGCCTTATGGCAGTGGTGAGATTACCTTCCCTGAAAGTGTTTTAAAAAAGTATGGAGTTGGCACTCGAGGACATGGTCTAGTGGTGGAGATAGCAGTGTTAGGTTAAAGGTTGAACTTGATGATACTAGAGGTCTTCTCCAACTTTAATGATTCTGTGATTCTATGAAAAAAGTGAAGTCAAGGATGATGTTTTTAAAGATGTAGTAACTATCCGCAAATCAGCTGCCTTTATATTGGGTTATTAACATTAGGTGTTGAAAAATAAAATAGTTTTTGATACAGTACTCCTGTGTATTTCTGAAAGAACTTACGTTTGTAAGAAGGTCCTGTCAGAGTCACTGTTCAGAGTCACTGTTTTTCTGTGTTGGCTGATCCAGCCTATCACCACCAATGCTATTACTGTAGGAACTACCAAGGAAGTGGTTTTGTGGCCACTGATCCTGAATCAGATTTACTATCAGATTATCCCCTAATGTAGCTTTGATCAGGCAGCCAAGCTATCACATTTCTTAAGTTAATAAAAGTATGCAATATATCATTTGCACTAACTTAATGCCTACTGTGGGAGGAAATACAGTAACTGTTTGGCATAAAGCCTTCCAATACAAAATCAACATGTCAAATCTAAACTGTATTTACTGTCTTGTCAAAGAATGACCTCAGAGCAGGTATTGGAACAATGACTCAACTCTGTAAATTGTGCTGTTTTATTTACAGAGGACAATAATACAGAATTATTACCTATTAAAAATAATTACTGATCATATACCACTAGATTTAGTTTTCATTTCTCTTTAAACCAAGGGTTTATGTTTTTGAAAACAAGTTTGCTTGTGGTGGGAGAGAAGTTGCAACTTTCTTTTGGAGACTTTTGATTCATAAAGTATGGCAGAGTAATGACATTAACAGTCATTGCAGACATTTTAATGCCAAATTCATCTATCCATATGGAAGTAATTTTTTATTTAATGACATTGTTGGGACGTGGAATTCAAAGAGAGAGAGAGCTTTCTTCGTTTGTAAAAGTATGTTTTAAGTGCACTTAGACATAGCCTTAATGCTTTATGAAGAACCTATTTCATTGGACAGAACAAAATTATTTTAGTAAGCTTCCCTCTTCTACTCTATTAATTCTTATCTGATACATCATTCATAAATACAGTAGTTTATAAGAAGGTGAATGTATGAAGCTATGGAATTTTGTTTTGTAAGCCAAAATACTACAGCCTGCAATTTACTGGGGATTTTTCTGTTTACTCTAAGATCCCTATATGCATTTTATGTAAAATTCCGAAAGACTGGGATTGTTTAGTATAAGCACTTCATTTTGCTTTTTCCCCTATAATACTTTTCCGAATAGGTTAGGAAAAGATAGATTGTGAGTTCCTTAATGGAAAATTATAAGCAAAGTAAGTAATTAATTTACAGATTTATTTCTACATTTGCAAATGTATTTCTAGATACATTACTGCTCCTGTGATTTATTTTCATCACTTGTTGAGGTAGCTCAGCTTTACTGCTGATTTGCATGGTCCACTCTCCTTGGTTCTTGGCATGAGTGTGTGGAAGTTCATTTTTCTCACTCAAGCCAGTGTGTGGGATCAAAGTGGGACAAGGTGGCTGGCATAATGTAGTAGCACATATTCTGAACTGTTACTGTTTATCATCAAAATGCTCTATTGTAGCTGGTTCTGACTCAAAAGCAGTCACATTTGTGGCAGTTATTTCATACCCCTTTAATAATTTTTAAAATGTGGATTTTATTTTTATGGGAGGTCTTTGTAGAAGGCAAATAAAACATTCCATTGGGTTTATTCTTGTTCTGTTTCCATTTTTCTGTGCAAATTACTGTTGAAACCATTGCTCAGTTCATTTTAATGAGAAAGAGGAGAAGGGATCTCAGAGATGATGCAATTTTTGTTCAGAGTAAATTGGTGGCTGAAGAGAGAAGTTAGTGTCCATACTGGGAGGAGAAATGCAGAGATCTGTAAGCAAGCGGTCTCTTTTACAGCAGGATTTTTTGTGGTGGAGGGAGAAGAACACATAGATAAAAAAGATTTTTTAACTGCTCTCACAGAATTTTTCCTGTTAAACTTTTTAATGAGGAAGCTTAGAAATAACATGTCATTTGTCAAACAGACAAAGACCAATGCTAGGATAGAAGGGAATAAGCCTAATAAGTGTTCAAGATGAATTATTGTATCACATGTATGATCTATTAATAGGGGAGAAGAAAAGAAATAAATGCAACACCTTAATGACTTCTCTGCTCAGTGGGAATAATCAAATTGTCAGCTCAAAGTAGTATGTTGTTTTTATCAGTGTGCTGCATAGGGGACAAGATATTGGTGCTAAATTTAAAGCAAAAAGTATGAAAACTTAAATTTTAATGCCTGATGAAGTTGGTTGTTGATCTAGCCCATTAAAATGTTATGGGTATCTTGTATTAGCTTTGTTAGAATCAAACCTTGTGGTTGGCTGAGAAGTAGTCTAGACTTAGAGAACCAGGCATGAAGAAAATTGTAATAGTTGGGTTTTACCCTGAGCCCATGAGAATTATGTCATTGTTTAACTATATGTGTAGTTATTTACTTCACATAATTATTATAACTGTGATGCTTTAAAAGAATTGATTAAGAGATCCTGATGTAGCCTGTTCTGAAGTATTTTTCTAGTGGTGGTCATGTCTTTTAAAAATTGAGATAATGAATTGAATAAGGTATTCTAGATATTTCCGCATAAGGGTTTTGTTTGTTTGTTTTACAACATGATAATTATACAAACCAAAATTCAACTACAATCTCTTTTCTACACCCTCACCTTTTTAATTATGGAGAAGCAGGGTTTATTTCTGGTGCTGGGAAGCTCTAGTCTCAACCAGAACACTGTGATATTGAGTGCTGCACAGCTGTGAAAGGATTTCAAAGGACAGGGGAGTTATGCTTGCAGTAGTTCAGGCTCTCTCTGCAGGGAATGCAGAGAGAGAGCTGAAATGATCAAAATAATAGACTTGTTCTTTGCAGCACCATGCTGAACTAATACATGCAGTGAATTATGCTTTTTCAGCCTCACAGTAATTAAAATAAAAAGATATTAGCTCGGATGAGTTTTGGCTGTATGGATAGATGGGATAGATTTCTAATCACACACAGAAAAATTTGGCACATCTTCGGTATAGTCTTGCCAAAGTCTGTGAGAACCCAGGGGAAACTAAATGAAAAACCGTTTCCAGTCAGGTTGTGCTAGTATGCAGACTCAGAAGGTAGGCATTAGGAATAGCTTTGCTGGTCAGGTCGAGAACTTTGTTTTCACCACACTAAGTTTCAGCTGAAGGCAGTGTCCAAGAAACAGCTAAAATTGGAATTGAAGGCAGTTCTCAGGTGGGGGGACAAACCTGTGAGTCATAAGCACAGGGATAGATGGTGGCTGAATTTGTGTTGGCAGGTGCTGGATCTCTGAGCATACAGGAGAAAAGAACTGGTAAAAAAGCTCAGGGATGGAGATGTACTAGGCTCCTACAGAAGCTTTTAAGAAAAACACTCCTTGAATATTAAATGAACAACTAGAAACCGACTGGAGCAAAATGAATGCTTTAATTTTCATTTGTAGATTCTTTAGTTTTACTAGATTTCCACTCAATACAAAATACTAAATCTAAGGCTAGAAAAAATCAGTTTCTTAGAATCTTGCATGCTTTTTCTCTCTCTTTCCAAAAAAAAGAATTCAGTCTTCTTTAAAAGAGAACTGGTATGACACGGGCTGTAAAGCATTGTTAAACAAATGTAATAAATGTTGGTGCCATATTTATCTGGCAATATGGCATCAGGATTTTACTGAGTTATTATTGTAAATTTGTGATATCAAAGATGTAATATCAACATGACATGCACAAGTTAAATCTGTTTAAAAAATATCCAGATACTGTTTTTTATGTTCTACTTTCTCTGTTTTCTTCCATCTGAAGGTAAGGCAAAACCAGTTTAGTTTCACAGCTTGCCTGCACAAGCTGTGATAGGTTTTGTGTTTGTATTTCTTTGAAATATACATACAGAAAGATGCAAAGTTCCTTTAAGAGAGTAGAAGTAAATGTTCTCTTTTCTGTATCTTTAAAATCTAAAGGTCATCAGATAAAAAAGAGATTTTCCATTTTTTATTGTATTTTTTAGGTACCCTAATAAAGTGTAGGAGTGCAGGAGAGATGAACTGATTATTTAATAGTTTTAAGGTAGTGGTTTATCAGGAGCTCCAGAGAGAGCTTCAGAATATTTGGTGGTGTTGCAACCTGCAGTGTTGGCTCTAAGAAAGTGGGTTTATGCTCTAAGGCTCTTCTTGTCCCCTGAATTTTGGCTCCTGTGGAGAAGGGATGTAAGATTTACCAGGAGAATCTCATCAGACCTCTTCTTATAAGTTGTCTCCTCCCTGGTAGCTATGTAAGGCTGTGTGGGGGCTTGAGCTGTATTTGATGACTCAGGCCAGAATATCCTCCTACCTCTTCATAACTGTGTTCCTGCTGGTGAGCTGAGAGTCTCTCTGAAGATTGGGGAGCCTGTGGGGAGCTGGGGATGTATCAGAGTCTTCTGGGAGCTTAGAATTCTTTGGTGAAGACAGGGGTAGTTTGGCTGGACATAGCAATGTCAGCTTTTCCTGATCATTGGCTTCATGAGAAGTTGTATTTTTTACTTTATTTTTTAAAAATATGTATCAGACTGCTACACTTTAGGAGAACTGAAAACTGCAGTGCAGGACCCAAGGTTAGATGGGAGCATGCTGGTAGGCAGTTTTTGTGTGATTGTTGGAGAGCTCATGATAAAGGTTGTTACTAGAATGCAGGAAAAGAGAACAATGTACGTAAGTACTAAAACATTCTAGAGATGTTGCTTTTAGTAAAATGTTTGTTTGTTTGTTTTTTAGTTCAAGCACTATGTTTTTGACAGCAAAGAACTGGAAGACTGGTTGATTGACATACTAAAATGGAGTATTTACCAGTGCAGGTAAGACATTCTTTGAACGTCTTTTTGCAGTTACATTTCTCGGCATTGTTTTGCAGTTCCCAGTGCAAATAGCTAGTTTGGCAAATAGCAGTGTTACACAATCATTTTTCCGAAAACAAAGCTGGTTTAGGAGATTTCTGTATCTTCAGTTCACTCTCAGATGCTCTGATGCAGCTGCTAAAAAGTAGCACTAAAATGCTCAATTTAGAAAAAAAAACCAGAAGCAAGAAACAAAAGCAAAATCTTTTTTCCCTTCAGATGAACCTTAAAAATATGTTATCCTGTGATCCAGTTTGTCTTGTGGCCTTTGGAAAGATCAGTTTGGGTAACTAAAGAAGTGGTGAGGTGATGTGGGGACAGCATGGACCAGCCAGGAAATATAGGAGATTTTCTAACTTAAGGAAATAAGGAAACCCTCAGAAGTATGAAGGAAAGGAAAGCTTGTTCCTCAGTGTAGGATCAAGTGGTTTTAACTGACATTTTAACTATTGGAGATGTTAAATCTCAGTGCTCTAAATACTTTTGAATATTGAAATGCTTGTTTGATTGTAAAAGTAAAGTAGCTACCAAAAGTTTAGAACCCACCTGTTCTAATTTGTGTATTAAGGTATTGTCATTTATTATCAGACCTTCTGATATGTTTATATGCTGCATTAAACTCCATTTCTCATGTAGAGAGCTCCTACTGAAGGATTCTTTTGTTTCTTAATGCAGTTTAAAATGTTGATTTCCAAATGCTAATGATGTGCTTTAAAATATAACAATAAGCTCATTAAGTATTAAAATGAGTTGTGGACTTCTGTTGTAGATGAAGTTTGTGAACTGAAGCTGTAAATTTGACAGGAATCTATACAACAAGTACCTCTACATGAGTTCAAATTTTTTGCTGGCTTTTGTATGATTAGTGTACAAGCTTAAGACATTGTCTAAGCTGAGTTTCTCCTTTAAAATATTTATTCACTGCATAACACTTTCTATTACATAGTTCACAGAACTGTTCTGTACTGTTTTCCTTTGCCACTGGTATGAGAGGCTTTGGCAGAAAAGCGGTGATGTGGTTTATGTCAGTCACCCAGGGCAGTGAGTGTTCCTCTTCTTCCTTAAGGTGCACATGGAACAAGTTGATGCTCAACAAAGGAAAAGCTATTTTCAGTGGTCAGCTGGGTGCCTGTGGCAGCACGCAGCACTGCTTGCTGGATGTGCTGTTCTGTGAACTGTGCCACAGCATTTCTTATGAGTTTTGCAGTTGGTACTGGAGCAAGGCATAGACACTGCTTTTCCAAATACTGTTTGTAGTTGAGCAAGAGCTGCGTTACTGGATTAAAATGCATGGTGTTGTGTCATGCAGGCCTGTGGTTGCTGGACTCCCTGTTTGGTCTGCAGGGAAAAATTGCCTGCCAGGCAATTTTTAGTTGACTGGCTGGGAGTGCTAAGTAAGCTCAATAGAGAAGGAATGGAGGCAGTGTCCCCAGCTAGAGCCATATTATACACAGTAGGAATACCACAAGTTCACTGGACAGAACTTTTGGCAGTCATGCAAGATGTGTCTCTCTTTAAGGTTTTTTTTGTTGAATTAACTCATTCATAAAATGGACCTTTGAGCTTACCTAATTGGACTGGTTCTGGATTGTTCTGGGTTTTCCTGCTGGGGACTTGGTGGACCCTGATCATGGCCCAACAGCAACCACAGGAATAGTCTTCCCTTCTCTTAATGGAGGCAAACCTGTTCAGGGAGTTAGCACTGCTCTTTGTGCTGGGAAGTCAGAGCCTTGTCATGTCTTCTTCTCTTGAGAATGTAGTTTCATCAAAATGCAAGCTGGATGAGATTGCCCCATCCTTACTATTCTTACTTTATCCCTTTGCTTTTCCTTGAGTGCTTTATAGTGGCTTCTTTCTGAGGTACTGAACAGTTTCATGCATAGAGCACAGGGTTTGTTGCTCAGCAGCCAAGGCTCACAGTGGGTCTAGGATCTCTGGATCTCTGCCCTGTGGCAGGTCAGGTTTCATTTGCAGAAGATACACTTGCATTTTGGTAGGTGGTGCCCATGTGATAACACAGTATTGCAGTCCCAACAAATTACAGTGCAGAACATTTTGACTCTAGCTTTGAAGACCACAGAGGACATCCCTGTACAATACTATAGACAAAGCAGTGGAAGAAGGAATTGTTGCAAGGCCCTGTAGGCTGTCACTGCCAGTCAAGACTACAAACTGTAGCAAAACTTGTGGCATCATTCAATTAGTCTCTTGACATCCTTTGATTGAAATTTGAGCAATGACAAGATTTTTTTAGACAATCTGGGTTAATAGCATCATCTAGGTGCTGTAGTTTTGACCTAGCAGTAGGGCTCTTGATATGAATTCTTCATGTTGTCCTAATGCAGCAAGATTCCGCTTCCCCTGTCCCCTGTTAAGTCAGTAATGTACTGTTCCCATGTTTTTGTAAAGTGCGTTCAAAGCCCCTGTACTGGCTAAACCAGTGTCAGAATTCACATCTTGTTTAGAGTTTAAAGTTTACACCTGTGTTACAATGCTTGAAGTCTTTCAGCTCCTCTAGAGTGAGTTCAGAAATGGAAATCTTGAGTCATATTCTAAGACAATTTAGTTGGTAGGCTAGAAGTTGTGCCCCTAAAGGTAACTTTGCTTTCAGCTGACTAATACCTGCTGCAGTCATGACTTCTTTTGCCACCTGCCCTGTTTCAGTCACAGTACTGCCTGCTACTTCACAAACACCCAAATGCATGTTCAAAATTTTAGAAACAAAGAAACCCCCATAATCCGTTCAAGCTCAAGACAATGTCTACTGCTTCTAGACCAAAGCCAGAAAAATTGACTAATGTGCATGAAGTATATCCTGCTCAAGTGTTTTTTTTTGTTCGCTTAGTCCTCAAACCAGACAGTGCTAGCAGAAACTGTGAAGTTTGAAGACAAGTGTTTGCAGAAAGTGTAGTCTGTTTTCATTAATCTAGTTGATAGTGTTGAAGGAAAACCAGCAGAATTTAGTAAAATCTATAGGATTTTAATTTAGGTATTACCAGGCAGTTGTAAATTAGCAGAAACTCGCTTGTCTGCAGCTGTGAAGATGATAGAATTATCACTTTACTACAAAAAAAATTTGAACCATGCCTTCTCCTGGAATCTCTCGGTCTAAAGCCTTACATGACCTGGTCAGACACTTTCTCTTTATTGTTTGGCTACTCTGTAATTCAGCTGTTGCTGTCCTCATGCCGGAGTTGAGGTTCCGCTGCCTGCATGGTCATTCTGCACCAACAAGGGCTGGAAGCAGCCCATGTTCTTTTTCTCCTTGTCAGAGAGTGTTTATCCCTCTCCAGCCAAGAACCAGAGCAGAGCTGCAGTATGTAGGTATCAGTAAGTGCCAGGATTGTATTTTGCTGACAATGTGTTGTGGTGCTTCTCTGATAACACTTGATTCCTTCACAAGAAACGTAGAAGTTACTGTGAGCTGGATTTGGTACATCCTATATTCTTGTTTACTCCAGGACCTGCATATTTAGGAAGCTGTGCAAAACTGTAAGCGTTGCCCTTTTTAGGACCAGATGGGCATTACCCCCAGCTTGTGTTCTAAATAGTTTGTTTTCTCTTTGTTTTCAGTAACTAAGGTGCTGACAAGTTTTGACTTCTTCATCCTCATAAACATGAGTGAAGTTCAGGCTATGGTAGAATTCTCCGTGGAGCTCCACAAATTCTTCAATGTGGATTTGTTTCAAAGAGGGTACGTAGCATGTTCTTTCAGACTTTACTCTGTTGGATGGCTAATGTTGGAAAGACCTTAATGGATACTCTGTCGTATAGAGTTGCTTCATGTGATACTGACTATTTTTGTAGTGACTTGAATTTTTTTTATTCTATATTGGAAAGTCATATTCTTTCTAGGATTTAAAATTAAATATTAAAATAATTTTTTCTTAAGACCAAAGTTGTAATACAATATTTTTGTCTAGTTGGAGATGAGAGAAAACCTGTAGGTATGGAGAGTATGTTATATTCTTACCCAGGCCTTTACCCTTGCATGTCTTAATTTCTGTAATCCCTTTTGTTTGAAATATGATAGTTGTTTCTCTTCAATATTTTAAAAATGGTCTTGTCCCAATTAACCTCCTCGTTTATCAGTTTGGCAGTAGAGAATTTCACCAGCCTCTCTCCTCTCACTGTGCTGTGCCTCCCGTTACTCAGGACTCCATGCTCTCTCTTTAGACTCTCCTGGGCTCCTCTTACTCCACCTTATCTCTGTACAAGTCTTTTCCACATTCCTTTCATTTGATGTTACATGATTGTCCTTTTCTAAGGTCCTTGTTTCCCATTGCTATGCAGAAAATAATCCTTTGTAGCTTATTTTGGAGCTATTAAAGATTATTGGTCCTTTAGTGCTGCGGTACATTAGCCTTCTGTCAATCCTCAAGTAGACTACAGTAAAAATGCCTGCTAGAGTTGAGGCTGTGTTAGTGTTTGCAGAGACAGAACAAGGTGTATCAGTGTTGATTTATGATAGCTGCCTTTTACAAAACAGTGCTGAGTAGCTTTCCTCAGAAATATTTTAGTGATGAAAAAATACATTAGTGTTTTTAGCCTTGTCTTAGTTCAAGACACGTGTCTGTGTGTATTGTTTCAGTACAGCTAGGGGGGTTTTTTTGACAGAAGTGGTGACCCATTATGCTTGCTACAATATGCAGTCCAAGTGTGTACAACAAACTGTCCCGTTTTAAGGGAAAATTATAATTTCACTCTTCATTGGAACAGAAGGATTAAGGAAGGCTTAAGAGGTCTGGGAAAACACTGAGAATATTTTAATTACTTCAACAAAAAACCAAAGTTTTTTGAACTGTAACCTTTTTAATCTCTGAAATCAGTGAGGAAGGAGGGGGTGGAACATGGCAGCACATTTACTCTAGTAGAGAACTCAAAGTGATGAAAGAGTTTTGGTTGTCTTAACCTTACAATTTTAATGGTTCCTCAGATAGGTAGTTGAGAAGCAAAGCACAGCAATATAATTACCAGTGCTTTATCTGGCGTATTTCTTTTTAGCTTACTTTTGCAGTAAGCTAAAAATCAGTAAATTTACAGGACAAGTTCAGAGAGGTGGAATGCTGACACAGTGAAAAAAGTGACGTGAGGAGGTACGATTTCCCTGGTTTCAAGCTGAACCTTTAACTCTGGGCACATTCCTGTAGAAATTAATGTCAGGAAGAGGAGAGAACTTCCAGAATAATTTGACAGACTGAGAAATGTGACTATTGCAATAAATTCAATTTGGGTAGGTTCCAGTATTTTTCTAGGAAACTGTTTATTTGAGACAGGATATAATACTTTTGTTGCTGGAGGAGCTCTTGGATAATGGATTGAATGAGCAGAAAAGGAAATCTTTAGTTTCATTGTTAGCTTCCTATTATTTAGCTACCACTATATTTAGCATGGTTTGTCTCACCAAAATCTGGTATGGAATTGATTGTATTGTGTGGATTCAAGCCTTCCTAGTGTGGCATGCTTGTCTCATGGAGTAAAAAACATCATGACCTTCTGAGCTGTGTAGAATAAAACGTCAGCTATTGCAAGTAATCACATCAAGTACCTTCTTAGTAGATTTTTATCCAAAGTATTTGTTTGCAGAGTGAGTTGAGATTCTCACTGAGATTTGATTACTGGAGATGTCATCATTCCCAGCCTAAATTTCCTTCTGACCAGTTTTAGTTGTTTTTCTTTACAGCTTTGTCTTGTGTTTAGAATCATTTTATCAGTCTGAAAGTTCACCCTTATGTGTTTTAGGTATAAATCTTTTGTCCCTTTAATTAAATATGAATTGACATTTCATATGAGTTTGGCCATTGGAATTTGTGGTACATTCCCCACCTTTTCAGTAGAGTCCCCATACTCTAATATCCAGTCAAACTCATTTTACTCTCTTCCTGCTTTTATAACTATATGAAGAAATCTGTCAACTCTTGCATCCAGCAGTATAATATTTTCTTGGATGTGTATATGTAGTGGCACTATAGTTGCCAAAAGCAGTTATGACTGTGTTTACACTAACAGTTAAATTTGGTATTTAGGGTACGAATTAATAAAAGCAGTGTTGATGTCCCTTCTTCTGTGTGGTTCCAGAGTTACTTCAGACTAGATTTTAACCTCATCTTCTGGAGCAGATGTTTTGTATCATGAGTGTAATTTGAAGTTGTTTGTATAAGTATTTTGTTCAGACCTTTTTGTGCCCCTAGGGGTTGAAGTGCATTTTGTGACAGGTAGATCAGAGTAGTTCAGCTTCCTTGGGAGACATCTAGGTTCTGTGACTGGAAAGCTCTCAGTGAATTGAACCAGCATTTAGCAAACTGGGGTCATTGGAGAAAGTGCCTCAAAACCACTCTGTTGAGCTAAACTGGTCTAAACAGTGCAGACTGAGCTAAAATTTCTCATAGTATTTTACTCAAGGTTATATTTATATGAAGGGTTATAAATATGCTCTCTCCTAAGATACCCTCTGAAGCAGACTATTTTTGTTACTTTTAGATAACTGTTACTATTCCAAGAAGTGGTAACAGACAGTGCAGACACTTGATTGTAATAGGATATTTGTCTTATGTATCCAATACAGCTATTTTGTTCTGTTTTCTTTTAACTGTGCCATTTGCTTTAAACCCAGCTTCTTACAGATGGCTCCACTGGTTTATTTTTATCTGTTAATTTCATTCAAAGAAGACTTCACACAGTTTTTGTTTTGAACTAGTGAGAGGTGATGATAGGAATTTTTGCCCAAACGGAGATTGATATGCAAGTTTTGTGTGACAAAATGAATTAAAGAAATGTATTTGTTTGGGACTTGTGAGAATGATAGTCTGAGACAGTGAAGTTTCAGGCTGTTTTGTCATCTTAGCTTGTAAAAGTTCCAGTAAGGTGTAGGCTTTATAGTACTGATCTATAAAGACAAAGGAAACAGTCTGCTTGACTGCAGAAGCGGAGAATGAGTTGAGTGGAAAATTGGTTGGATGATTCGGCTCAAAGAGCTGTGGTCGGTGGTGCTAAGTCCAGCTTAAACTCGTGACTAGTGGCACCTCCCATGGACTGATATTGGGTCAGCAGTCTCAACAATCTTTGCACAGAATCATAGAATGACTTGGGTTGGAAGGGGCATTAAAGATCATCCAGTACCAACCCTCCTGCCATAGGGGAGGCACCTTCCATTAGACCAGGTTAGAGCCCCATCCACCCTGGCCTTGAGTACTCCCTGGGATGGGGAGATCACAGCTTCTCTGGGCAGCCTGTTGCAGGGCCTCACCACCCTATGACTGAAAGAATTTCTTCCTAATATCTCATCTAACCCTACTGTCCTTCAGCTTAAAGCTGTTCAAGTTCAAAGATTGTGCTGGTTGTTTTGCTGGTTGGTTACCTCCTCATGTACATACATTTTGTATGTGTCAGCATACATATGTGTCTTGAACTGAGGTATAAATCTGTTCAGAATGTCTGATTCCAAACAACTGGTTACTGAAAGGGCCCCAGTACTTTGTTGTGCTCAGTTGAAGTTCCCATGTTCCACCATGGGATGATGGATCCTGATGTCTAACTTGGGACAGTTATACCTTTTCTGTGGGTAGGGAGAAGAGTTTCCTGGTGACCTTCACTTGTGAGAAGATGAGATTTGCATTTCACTGGAGCTGTGTGTTGCTTTTTTACCTGTAAATGGCAAATCTAACGAGCTAAAGAGACTTAGCTAGTAGTTTGTAGTTTAGTATAATGCACATGTTGCCGCAAGATTTTCTTTGAAAATAGCTTTCATCTACGTTTTCCTCATCTCTGTGCATTCTTATAATCCCACTGTTAAGTTCTTTGTTACTAATCTTTTGTTACTTTGTCAGTAGTATGCATGCACACATAACTGACCAAAGCTGGATTTAGAATACTCTTAATAGTAATGTCTCTGTGTTTTGCCTTTTTTTTGGTACCATTTTGATTTCTAAGGTACAATATGTGCAGTTTCATTGTGGGTTTCAGAAAAAGAACTTGCTAATGGTTTTATGGTTTTATGGTGGTGTAAATTTGTTGTTACATAAGCTATGAGGAGAGGAAGTAAAATAAAGTATTAACAGTAGCTCTTTATTGCACATTTACTGCTCAGTGTGTCTTAGTTTTCTATTATTTTACTTTGTTTTGGGTTAAAGGATTCTTGTAAAACCACATGAAGAATTTACATTAGTAATGTAAGTCTACCACACTTCTTTGAAGTCTTTTTGCTTTTAACTGTTGGGTAACAGATGGAGGACTAATACTAAATACCTTACACAGGAGAGACTTCAGCAGATTCTAACCTAAAACATATTTTTGGAGATGTATCATATCTGAAAGGTTATTGGTAAGATTGCAGCATAAGTTGCTTGTGAACCTAAATCTTATTAAAAGTCAAAGGAATTTAAGCTTCAGACTACTGAAAATTTAGCCTTGTGATATTCTTCTATTCCATAGATTTATGTTTTTCCATGTGTAGTTACTTACTGATGTGTCTGAGCAGCATTGACATTTTATGCATCCATGCATGTGGTTATGTAATGGAGCTTGAAAGAAAATAACAGTGAATCAGAGTATGAAATTTAATGAATCTTATTATGATTACTTAGTAATGTCATGAGAAATAATGCGTTATATGAAAAGTTGTATTGTTTTCTGGATCCAGTGTGTTGCTTACATTAATTTTAAATTTTTTAACAGAAAATTGAAAGTCAAAATGTA